TTTGTTGCTTGTTAACCCTCTAAATAAAAGTTGGTATCACTGAATCGAGTTCTTTTAAATTCATATAAGATCCGCTGCCTTCTCCCTTCTCTCCTTCCCCTTTCATCTTCTAGAAAACTTATATTTGCATTGAAAATTCTAGTAGATCTAAAGAGAAATAAAAAGCAGTAAAGAAGAAGAGGGTGTACATTTATTGTAATGTTTTGCCTGATAAACGCAGGTGCAGCGTACGAAGTACAGTCGTCATGTGCAGATACGTCAGTTTTTGCTGTGCTTCCCGTTGTGGTCGACCACTGTCCGGAGCAAATTCTACTTGACCTAAAAATTAATTTTGACTTTTGTTGAAATAGAGGTTTCAATACTGCTGTTAGAAACGCCGCCACTGTCAAAGGTGGCTATAAGTTAATGCAGTATTACATAGAATATTTTATACAAAAACTACTCAACGTTGATAGAAAAGAATTTAAAATATAAACATTTTCCAGGCTCGCCTCGCTTTGACCTTAGCTCTTCTATTCTCATTAACACAAATCAGTCTAGCGAGATGTATTACAAATATGAAATTTTCGCTAGAAAAGACTCAAAGAAAAAACTTAGAGAAAAAGCAGTAATTTCAAATTGATAAGCATTGTAGCCAAAATATGTTTCACGAGACTTTTTCGCACACTTTTTTAACTAATGTAAAAGCGAGGAAAACTATGCAAATAAATATCTGTTTGAACAATATGCTTTTTCTTCTCAAAGATCTGCTCCCAAAAAGTAGCTTTGCATAAGGACTAATGATAGAAAAAACTAAAAAAGGATTTTACTTAAAGCTTCTACATTATTAAAAGAAAACTCACTGTAAAAGAAACAAAAATTTTTTTAACTCAAGTGAAGTAGAGTAAAATGACTTTATGAGCACATTATGAAAGCTCAAAAGAGCTGGCGAAGCACTTATATTGATAAAAGAGCTCAAATAACCTGGTGATACCATGATAATGCTTAGCTCTGCAAATTAGATAGAAAGAGAAATGTAATATAATTGCATTTTTACGTTCACTTAATCACTATTGTTTATTGATTATCGACCTAAGCAGTTAGTTTTTGTATTGGCCGTTTAAACATTAGTTTAGCGCTGTGAAAAAATTGTTCTTGTTAATTAGAATCCTTAGAAACGACAAGGAACTGCTCAACTAACATCGATCACGAGCTAATCATCAACATTCGGTTAAACCACCAACATATCCGCAGCAGTAGTGGTAGAAATAAACATTAAACTGTTTCCAATTCAGAGAGCCGTTGTCGTTGATATAAAACACATAATACATATCCTGCAAAAAATTTTATTTCAAATAAAGTTTTTTTTTTCTTTTATTTGAAGATCAGACTGCTATTATCTGTATAGAATCTTTTACTAGACGAATAAAAGACGTTAAAAATGGCGAGATGTTTGAAGATTTGAAAGGTATTATATTTGAAATTTTCTTGACAAATCAAAAAATTGTAGAACTCAAACTGTGAAAGTTATGAAAAAATAATATTAGACGTATTGGTGAAGCAAGATCAGTATATTTGAAAGACTTAGCCACCGAGCCACAAAGAATCAAAAAGTTTTTTGATTTGGCAGTTACTAAAAGAAAAAACACCAAAAGATTTTCAACAATAAACAATAAAATGCATGTTAACTTCACAGTTAAGTTGCATAAGATTCTTCACTGCAAACAAGAACTTTTTTTTTTGGAAAGAGTACTTTTTTTTTGTCAAAATGCTATTTGAAACAAAATGCTATTTGAAAACAGAGTCTTATTCTGAAATGAGAAGTGAAAACTGTGTGGAACTGCAGAAGCATGTTGCACCATAGAAAGCACTATTTTAAGTTTTCATTTTTTGTAATAGATGAGGTAATGAAGCCCAGTTGTTCAACCATAGTAAAACTTATAGATTTTTTAAATAAGAAGTTCAGTTCAAAAAAGTCTGAGTCAAAAAAACATTATTTTCTGGACAATTTCTTCCCGTATAATGAAGTTTTTTTTAGCTTTTATATTAAAAAGCATTTTAAATAAAAATAGAAAGATTAGGAAAGTTTAGTTCAATAGAAACAGAGAAAAAGCTGCTTGCAGACATCTGAAACCTAAACTCAAATAGAATAGTTGTCTTTTTCTGCTATTGATGTTGTTGCTATTCATCCGCTGTCAAGTAAAAGCAAAAATATGTTTTAGAGAAGGCTCTCAAACAATTAGTGCAGCAACCAAGGAAGCAATCTGATGTCTGATATGACTGCGGATCACAGACCAATTGCTCTCTTCTTTCACTTATCTGGAAGGCATTTTAGCTAAAAACAGCTGTCTGTTCCTTATTTCCATCACAGAAGAAAAAAAAGAAACTAAAAAAAAAATATTTTTCTTGCTTTTGTTGACGATACTTTTTCTGCGAATAAACTATTTTCTGACGTAAGTTTTTTGGTAAAAAAAATAAAATTGAAAAAAATAAAATAAGTAAAACTTCTTTTTTTTTCTTTCTGTCTTTGTTGCCAGTAAATAGATTACTGTAAAAGCAGTTTTAAAAGTGTCTTTTTTGAGGCTTTCAAATAAAAAACTATCATTTCTGATTAAAATATCTTAGAAAGCAGAAAAAAAAAAAACTAAAAGAAATTTGGCAGAAAGTTTTAAATTCTGATCTGTCAGTTAAAATGTCTGATGTTGCTCTATTAAAGATTAGCTCAAAAAAGTAGGGGTACAGGTACCAATAAC